CGCCGCCGAAGACGGGCGCCGGATCCCCTGCGCGGCCGCCGATGAGGGTGGCGGCGAGGCCCTCGGCCGCGACGCCGCTCGGGCTCGGGCCTAGGGTTTGAGGCGGTGGCCTCTGCTAGTGAGGGCGGCATCGTCCTGGCGGCAGGCGTTGCTAGCCGGAGTTGAGGGCCGCGTCTACTCGACCGCGCGGGCGGCGAGTTGGCGGTGGACGCGGGCGCCGCGTGGAGGGATCCCCTACTGCTCTCCTTCGCCAGATCTGAAGACGGTGCCCCCGTGCTGCTACTTCCTCCTCGTCAGTCCGGCCGGATCCGGTGGCGGACTGCGCGGATGTGGGGTTGGGAGCTTTGGATCGGAGTAATTTCTTGGCCGGTTGCGGCGGCCACGACGCCGGCGGCGCTCCATGCGCTGTTTCCTTCTTGAAGGCGGCTTCGAGATCCAGCTCCCTCTTCCTCGTCCCCCCTGCACCCGGGTGAAAACCCACAACTTTGGTTGGGCAGCGGCGGTGCCCGGCTCTGTCACCTTCTTGAAGGCGCCGCTTTGGGTCCGTGGGGAGGTGGGACAGCTGCAGCGCGTTCTTGGCATTCCTGATGGCGGCGGTTCTCTTTATTGGCGTCGCTTCGCCATGGCGGTCGGCTGGTCCGACTCTCGTGGTGATTGTGGTGCTCAACTCTTCGCCGTGTCTTCTCTGGGGTGCTCCCGTCCCGTTCAGAGAGGCTGGAGGTGGAGCGGCTTCATCTTACACGGAGCTTCGGTGGAGATGTAAAGTCATGCCTGTCCGACAGATGCTACGCTTTGTCATGCCTGGTCGGCAGGTGCTACGCACGACAGATCTTTCAAAGACTTCAAGTTGTGTCGGTTGGTGGTACTTGGCAGCATGGTGCTGAGGTGTATCAGTGGCGACCGTGACGTGCTCAGTTGTTTGCGCGCAGGGAGGAGGTGTCGTTGGGCGCCGTGGTGGCATCGACGATAGCTGGACCGAGCAAGGTTGATGCATTAGTACAGTTCTGGAGATGGAGCGGTGGCAGTTGGCGGCGACGGCCTCTGAGTGCACGCCGGACCGGTGAGACCCATACCCGGCAGGCGTCCTGGATGGGACCTCGGGTCTTAGATGTTAGGTTTGGCTGCGATGTCTGTTTAGTATTAGGTCCAGGCTATCTGTGCCCCTTCATTAACTGGATAGAATTGCTTAGACGGCGGCTTTAGGCTCTCTGTTGTATTACTTTGTAAGGTCTTATGAGAATAATTAATAAAATGGTCGTATGCATCGCCCAGATACAGAGGCAGAGGGTCATCCTCCTTTTTTTTAAAAAGGAAAAGTTTGAAGAAAACAACCTACTGACGAGGCCTAGTTTTCCTCTTGTGTCCAACCCCGCAAAATCAACCTAAAAACAACATAAACGCACAGTCCTCCCTCAAAAATAGTATGCATAGAGAAGACTGCCGGATCAACTTTAAGGTGTTAAAAGTGATCTGCAAAGTACCGAATACAGCCAATAAGTGAATGAAAACAATCTACCCTCGTCGTGAATTAAACCTTCAGAATCGTCGCCGGATGAAGTCAACTGGTGCGAAGAACCAAGTCGGCGGATGTTTGCTGATTCGGAAAGGCCCGATATTCCTTCGGTGCAAATGGATAAAACACCCGGGCTTAAACCACGATTTGGCGAGCAGATGCAGAAAACTTGACAAAACTGCAATCGCTTGCGAAATAGTTCATCAGAGGAGCCATAAGATGTCCATAGATCTGCTAGAATTCATGGCAGAATATGCAAACCTCGTTGTGTGGCTGACGGCAGTGGTTGACGGCAGTGAAGCGAAGCCTGGTTAGTGAGGACCTGGATGCCAAGGTCAGGAGTGCCCCGAGGGATATGATTGATCCGCTGTATGACCACTTGCTTCATTCTGCGGTCTGAGAATTTTAGCCACTTGTCTCTTCGTTTATTCTTGTATTAATTGCAACTAGAAGTCGACTCCGATTCTTTCAAAGTTCAAACACATGGGCATATGGCATCCAGTCTCTAGTCACTATCCTCACCAGACACGGCAAGCCATAGCGAGGGCATGTATGTGCCCACCGGGGCGAAGCCTTTTTCCGTATGTGTCCACCGGTAAAATGACATGGAGAAGTTTAGGCACAGCTTGATAGGTACCAGTTGATTGGAGTTCGGGTTACATGAATGAGGTACTAGCTACGAAGGAACGCCAAAGAAGAAGCAGAGAGAGCAGATGTAAAAGAAGCCGCAAGCCCGAACATCGGGAGACCAGTGCTCGTGCTCGTGCTCGCTGTGTCACAGCCGCAAGCCGGGAGAACAACGGCGTCTTCCCATGTCGGCTCGTGCTCGGTGTCTCACAGTTGGCCTTCTTGTACCAGCGCACGAAACAGGGGAAGTTGGGGTTGGCAAAGGAGAGTGCCGGGACGGACATGGGCTGGGGAAGCTCGCCGGCTATTCCAAAACCCATAGGCAACTTGCCCACGGTCACACACCAAGCGATTAAATTGGTAGAAGTACAAGTTTTGCACATAGCGTTAATTTACTCAATGAAACTTTCTGTACATTGGGTTTTGAAATAGATGGTGTGATATGGAGTGTTGTCCTAAATCGTCCGTGAAACGTCGTCTGTACAGCAGTCCTGTTTTTTTAGAAAAGGAGATATCCCCGGCCTCTGCATCAAAGTGATGCATACGATCATCTTTATTAAGCAAGCAAAAAGGTTCAACAAAAGTCTTCAGGTCTTAAACAAAAACTGCTCACACAGAGCAAAGGAACAAAATAAAAAAGGCCACAACCGGCTGGCATAAAAAAAGATAGAAAAACTAATTGCTTATCCTATTACATGACCCTCATCCAAACCGGCTGAAAATATCCCGTGCTATCATCTCCCATCGGATAGATCCAGTAACCAAACGCTCTCTGGCCTCCGTCGTAGTGAGTAATGACCACATACGGATCAGCGCAGTAGCTCGGAAGATAACCTACAAAAAATGAGTATTTGTTGTTCTGTTAAAGACCAAATCATTTCTGCAATTCCAGATAGCCCATAATAAAGCACAAACTCCTACACGAATGTGTCTCGTTATTTGGGGCTCAATCCCATCCAATCACGTCCCAAATAACGTGTTAATATTATTCGGAGGAGTAATATTGAAGACTATGTTCACTGATTGCCAAAGAATCTTTGCCAAAGGACAATCGAGAAAGGGGTGTTTGATTGTTTCATCCCTGCCATAAAAACTACATCTCGAGGAACCGATCCAGTTGCGTTTAATCAAGTTATTCTTAGTTAAAATGACTTGTTTGTGAACAAATTACATAAACACTTTAACTCTCAAGGGAACTTTGACTTGCCACACATGTTTCGAAGTAGGAATAGAGCTAGAATTAATAACATCCATATACATGGATTTAACCGCGAATTCTCCATTCCTAGTAAGCTTCCAACACAACTGATCCGGAAGTTGAGAGAGTTGAACATCTATCAATCTTCTCACAAGATGGAGCCAAACTTTTCAACGGTTGCCGGCTAACGCTCTCTTGAAGCTGATATTTAGAGGCGTGGACTGACATAATGACTCAATGGTTGCATCTCGCCGTTGAACAATACTATAGAGGGAAGAATACTGAAGCGCGAGAGGCACATCCCCTAGCCAAGTATCTTCCTAGAATATCGTAGAAGTACCATTACCAACTACAACCTTGGTCCTATTAAAAAAGATTGATTTAACTCTCATCAGTCCTTTTCAGAAAGGCGAATCCATTGGCCTCACTGTCACCTGGGATAAAGTTTTGGAATGAAGGTACTTATTACGCAGAATCTGTGCCCAAGTGGCCTCGGTTTCTCGAGAAAGCTTATACAACCATTTGCTAAGAAGACATTTGTTCTTTACCTCAAGATTTTTGATACCTAGACCCCCTTGGTCCTTCGGCCGACAAATAATGTCCCATTTAGCTAATCTATAATTCCTCTTCAGCTCATCACTTTGTCAGAAAAAAGGGATCGATAGAAATCTAGTCTTTTCCGAACGCCCACTGGTACCTTGAAAAAAGACAACAGAAACATGGGCATACTTGTGAGAACCGAATTAATCAGAATTAAACGGCCTTCATACGACATCAGTTTGCCCTTCCAGCAGCCCAATTTCTTCTCAAAACGATCCTCAATGCACTTCCATTCGCTATTTGTTAGCTTACGATGATGAATGGGTACACCTAAATACGTGAAAGGTAAAGCCCCCAATTCACAACCGAACAATCCCTTATACGCCTCTTGTTCCTCATTGGCTCTTCCAAAACAGAACAATTCGCTCTTGTGGAAATTGATTTTTAGTCCGGTCAATTGTTCAAATAAGCATAACACCAGCTTCATGTTTCTCGCTTTTGCCAAGTCATGCTCCATAAAGATGATTGTATCATCTGCGTACTGTAGGACAGAGACACCTCCATCAACTAGATGAGGTACCAAACTACCTACTTGGCCAACATCCTTAGCTCTCCCTATTAGAATCGTCAATATGTCAACTATAATGTTGAATAGAATAGGTGACATCGGATCTCCTTGTCTCAAGCCCTT